TATCCTCTCTGTCTGGGTGTGGGCATTGGGATTCTGGGGAAGTGGGTTAACTCAGCTAAGGGAAGTGAGGTAACTCAGTTAAGCCCTCCTATTCCCCCCTCTTGGTGTGTGTGGGTATTCAGATTCTGGGGAAGTGAGTTAACTCAGTTAAGGGAGGTGAGTTAACTCAGTTAAGGGAAGTGAGTTAACTCAGTTAAGCCCTCCTATCCTCCGTCTTTGTGTGGGTATTATTGGGATTCTGGGGAACCGAGTTAACTAACTTAACTCAGTTAAGGGTTCGCTGAACCGATTTTGCCACACCTGTACTTCTGGCATTGGGTCCCACTATGTACCCCACTATGCCATGTGGCCACCCATTTACCATCAATATCTACACACCCTGTGAATGCTGGAGCATCGTCCCATGGGAGCCATCGGAAATTAATGTTTTTTTTTTTTTTTTTTTTTTTAATTACACTGTTTTTACACAGGTATTGAGATGCTGTTTTTTTGAAGATCGAGATTTTAATTTTTTTTCCCTTCAGTAAGCTGGTATCGAGATGCAGATGCATTTTAATGATTTGTCAATGATTGGAGGGTGTAGACATGCTGCAAGCGAATAGTGTTTCCACATAATGATAGTGATGGACATGCGGTAACCCACCAGTACAACCGGGCCTGGAGGCGCCTTACTGTGCACCAAGCTTTTCCGAACCGCCGGCGGTGCACTTTCTTTCTTTTTTGGCTGCCGCCGCCAGCCATTGCGGTCCGGTAGGCCGAGCCTCCAAACATTTGGTAGGTGACAAGTTGCATTTTCAGCAAGGCTGGGGCGGTGTACTGGCGGTTTAAAATTGGAACGATACACAGAAGATTAGCATGGCCCCTGCGAAAGGGTGACATGCATAAATTGAGAAATAGCTATGGGGTGATGCTCTGACAGTAATGTGTCCATAACCTAGGCTATTTAGCTCCCCCGGCCGTGCAAGCCGAGCAAGTCGCGTGCGGGGGTCACCTGCACGGTGGGGCACCCCGTGCAGGCAAAAATCAGCCTTTTCTCTTTTGGGGGCCTGGAGGTTTTCTGAGCATGGCCAGAGGAGTGCAAATCGGGGCTCCTTTCGTTTTCCTAGCATTGGCTGTCATAAGGGGGAAAGGGGGGTATAAATTGGTTTGTAAGGGGATAACGGGGTTCAAACGAGGGTGCCTTGGTTTGATTTTGTTGTTTTCTTTTTCATATTCGGTTCTCTGAGGAATTCTGAGGTAACGCTCAGCCAAAAGTCGGTTGTAATATTGCAATTCTACACAACATTTTTTTTTTGTTTCCTGGAATTTTTTTGCTTTTTCTTTTCTTTTCTTTTTTTGGCGCTGGGGCCCCCCGGGACCCTGGCTGGGGTTCATGCCCTGCCGAGCACCCAGGCGTGTATCCGGGTACAAGTTGGGTGCCTGAACGGACGCCCAGACAACAACCTAGTCCATAACCGTAAATTTCTCTTGCTCTCAGAGAATAGTAAGAGTCCATTTCAACACTGCCCAAAAGTTGTGTTGATGAATAGTAAGAATGCAGTAACACTTCCCAAGGGGATAATCACAAGTGTGCTTAAGCCTTTTTCTGAGAGTGTTTGTTTTAATACTCATCAAATATGTATTTGCTTTGTTTTTTTTCGTGTCATCTTATATCCAGTAATGAATCAAATCAATGTGGAAAAGAAGTTGCCCATCTGCCCTCTGTTATGTGGGATAGACATTCACACTTGTTTGTAGGAAAGCCCACTGGTTAAACCACCAGTACCTTTCCCAGCTATTAAGTCCGACCCTCCCGCGAGCCTTGCCGAACCTAAAGCTACCGGTAGCAGGACAGTGTGCATTTCTAAGAACACAAGAGACAAAGAAAAAAACTGAAAAATAAAATGAAATAAACGAACGAGATCCAAAAAAAAAAGAAGAAAAAAGAAACCAACAAAGGAAAACGTGCGGTCACAAGAGAGAGAGAGAGAGAGAGAGAGAGAGAGAGAGAGAGAGAGAGAGAGCCACACCACTCTTGAAATGTGAAAAAGACAAAAATGTGGCGGGTGAATCTGGCCATGTTCTGGCGGAAACATTCTCATTTTGCACATTTCGAGAGTGGTGTGGTCATGCCCTCATTCTCGTATTGAGCTTTTCGATGCGCTGGGGGGGGGGGGGGGGGGGGGGGGGGGGGGGGGGGGGGCGAAGGGGAGAGAGAGAGAGAGAGAGAGAGAGAGAGAGAGAGAGAGAGAGAGAGAGTTGGCATTGAGAGGGCCTGGCCACACCACTCCCGAAATGTGAAAAGACAAATTCTGTGGGGGGTGCATCTGGCCATGTTCAAGCACAAAGTCCGTTCCAATTTTGCACATTTTGAGAGAGGTGTGGCGATGCCCACAGAGTGTTAATGCAGGCACATACACACAGAGGGGGAGAGAGTAGATCATGACGCGTTCGCTGCAGCATCCGCGCCGTCTCTCTCTCTCTCTCTCTCTCTCTCTCTCTCTCTCTCTCTCTCTCTCTCTCTCTCTCTCTCTCTCTCTCT